TCATTATTGCCTTCCTCTCGTGATGTTGTCAAAATGTCATGTTGTCAACATTTTTAAAAGAAGTTAAATTACCTGGTAGCACATGGTAACATGGTAGCACCTTCAGTTCTTCAAAAATAATTCATTATTGCCTTCCTCTCGTGTTGTTGACATAATGTCATGTCGTCAACATGACAACATGGTAGCACCTTCAGTTCTTCAAAAATAATTCATTATTGCCTTCCTCTCGTGATGTTGTCAAAATGTCATGTTGTCTCATTTTTTAAAAGAAGTTAAATTACCTGGTAGCACATGGTAACATGGTAGCACCTTCAGTTCTTCAAAAATAATTCATTATTGCCTTCCTCTCGTGTTGTTGACATAATGTCATGTCGTCAACATGACAACATGGTAGCACCTTCAGTTCTTCAAAAATAATTCATTATTGCCTTCCTCTCGTGATGTTGTCAAAATGTCATGTTGTCTCATTTTTAAAAGAAATTAAATTACCTGGTAGCACATGGTAACATGGTAGCACCTTCAGTTCTTCAAAAATAATTCATTATTGCCTTCCTCTCGTGTTGTTGACATAATGTCATGTCGTCAACATGACAACATGGTAGCACCTTCAGTTCTTCAAAAATAATTCATTATTGAATAACCTGAAACCATTAATGATAAAATAACGATAACATCAAATTTTATTTTTATATGAATGAATACCCCACAAGCTCAAAATTTACCACGAATCATAACAAGGGAGGAAAGAAATAATCGAAAAATTAAAAACAACAAACCACGAAAAACAGAGAAGATGAGGAATAAAAATTAAATTTGGATTGAGTTTAAAAATTCATCTTTATTAAATTCATCTCTTCCAATCAATTTATTTATTCTATTAAATTCTTTTATTTTTGCTTCACTCAGTTTAAGGATTGAACGGTAAGTTTTTAATTTTTCGATTATTTCTTTCATCTCTTGATCGTTTTCAACCCCACCACATTGCGGCTTCTTTTTGTAATAGCATATTTTTGATTTAACTTTGTTTAGTTTCTTTTTATATTCATTGTCTGGACTCTTGGCTGCTTCGTTGTCACTCATTTCTTACGAAATAAAAAAATTAAATATTATTTAAATATAATGGAGTAATAAAATAAATCGGAATTTCTATTAATTTATTGCCAACTTCAACTAATACATTACCGTTAATATATCTAACAAATTCAGCTATTGTGTCAAATCTTCGTCTTCTTTTTGTCATTGATTTATTAGTTTTTCCATAATCGAGATGAATCAAAACTTTATCCCCTTGTTTAAAATTCATGAGCCCCGAATTAATTTGTTCACGTTTAACATCATTCAACCTTTCCATTTGCTTTCTAATATATTTCCATTCTTTTGAAATATCATTTTTCATTTCCACAGGTTTCATGTTTATAGTTCTATGCCATGTATTATTGTAATAATATACTAACTGCTGTATGATGGAGTCATGATTTCCATCCCAGTATATCTGACCGTTAACCCCTAACGCATCTCTAAGAGTTCTCATTACCGCATCAACTATTTTATTATGAAACGTATATGGAGAGGATGAAAAGTAAAAATTAATTTGTGGGAAATAATGAGCCATAGCTGCCTGAAATCCTTTATCACTATCACCCCTGATATTATCTACTCTTTCATGATCTAGTAAGTATTGAATAGCTCTTCTTGTTTCCTGTTCTGTTTTCCCTTTCACCGGAATGCAATATAAATATCTGGTGTTAATGTTAATGGCAAATAAATAAGTAACGTTTCCTTTTGAATATTCTAAATGATCGATTTCGTATGAATATGGATATGGTGCAAATGAGGGGCGACTAAATTTTTCCTTTAACGGTTGAATTTTTGGGTCAGTTGGTTTATTTAATATCTTGAAATCCCTTTTAAAATCTTTTTGCTTCTTAAATGTTTGAAATGGATATAATAAAGTGAATGATGAAGTATTAACAGAAGGAGGAGGTACTACTGTTGGAGGTTTTGGTGTTGCAAGTGGTTTAATTTTATCTGCTTTGATTTTGGATGATGAAGTTTTGGATTTCATTCCTTCTTCCATTAATTCTGGATGTATTTTATTCATTTGTTTTAAATATGCTGTATATAAAGGTTTGATATACTTTCCTGCTTCGAGTTTATGTTGAAGGATGAATTCCAAAAGTTGATCTTCATTTAAAAGTTGGGCTGAATATGGTTTAACTAATGAATCATAAATTAAAGCTTGTGCTTCATTTATGGTCTGAATGACCTGGGCGTTTTGCACTTTTAGCTTTTGTTCCTTTGTTTTTTGCGGCTCAGGATTATATAAATTATATAATTCATCAATATCTTCTTTTGTTAATACTTTATTTTTGAAATCTTTCAATTGTTTAAGTTGTGATTTAGTTTTTCCCTTTGCATATTCATTATTTTTAATTTTATCTTTAATTTTAGAAATTATTTTATCATGATATTTCAAAATTTCATTTTTATAATATGAATAATAATAATCCATATCATCATCCATTATATTTTCATCATATTTTTGGAGATATGCTTTTAAATCATAATAATTAAGAAAATTTTGATTAAGTACTAAATCATCAATTAAATTTTTTAAATCTATGTTATCCATTTATATAAAAATAAAATAAATGTTTAAGGGTGCCCACCTCTTTGAATCATAGTATCAAAACCATTATTAACAGTTCCTTTTGTCTCTTCTGTGGCATTTTATTAAAAATACAATTTAAAATTCATGACTCAACCCCCTACGTTTTTAAATTGTATTAAATAAATGGCATACAACATCCATTTTCACAACATACAGCCTTAGTGTGTGCTCCTGTTAATGCAGTCTTACCGATTGTTAAGCGAGTCATTGACCCGTTTTTAAGTTGTAAATTAATATTCTGACCATCAAATATCACTTTATCATTTATTATATCCAAATAATTTTTAGGTGTTAATTGTTTATTTTGTCGTAAACTAACTCCTTTCATTTTTTGTGCAATCTTTTTAAAATCACTTCCATCAATTGAACCGTTGAATGATGTATAACACTTAGGGCATAAAGCAACCATGTTATCACCTTGTTTCTCAATTGCTAAACCCAATAATTTCTTCTCATGTGCTTTTTCTTCAGCTTTATTCTTTAATTTAGGTTTAAATTTCTCATCAAAACAGAAGAAATCAAATGGTGCGAATTTGTAAATGTTTTTATCATAAAATTGTTTATCGGTTACAATCGCCTGAAATGCTTGAGTGTTAGGAAGATTTGGATCACCAGCGATTGCCCAATAAGATGAATCAGTATCACCTTCAATGAAATGAAAACGATTAACATTCATGCATTTATACATAAAATCATAAATGAAAACCAAATACCAGTATTTAGCATTATCTAAAGTAAAGAATGCCTCTTGTAAACATGTTTCACATCTATAAAATCTATCTTTGAGCATCATTTGATATGTATCTTCACCTATTTCTCTTATGTTTTTAAACTTATTTGACATACATGCAACGCGTGCCTTCTGTGCATTCATTATTTTAGTCTTTGTGTAATTTTGTGTATTCATTGCATCGTAACCATATGATCCATTAAGCGAAATCTTGCAAAATAAACTTTTTCCTTTATTTCCTTCTAATTCAGCCTTTTGTCTTTCGTTCATAAATTCATTCGCAAATTCATTAAAACAAGTGTTTTTCGTAAATGTTAAAATTGATTGAATATCATCGATGATAAAATGAAATCTGTCTATTAGATACCAAAGATAATAAAAAGAAAATGGTTGATATTGGTTGTGTGTTGATGCTAACTGAGTTAATTTTCTCTGTTTCTGGTCAACTGGTAGATTGTTTGATTTCATGTAATTATACATAAAACTGCCAATTGTTTTTTCATCTGTGATAATATCTAAGTTTCTTATTATCGGTAAAAAGTTTATGTAATCATTAATGTATTTTTCATCAATGTGACCCTTTACTTCAGCCACGAATAAAGTATTTTTCTTTCTAATAATTCCTAATGCTTTTGCTTTCTTTGTTGCTGTATCACAAATGATAACACCATTTAATCTTCCCGGCATATACATTTTATGGTCAGTATATTGAATGAAATCATGAGGATTAGATGAAAATGATGAAGGATATAATGAATTAAAATCAACACCAACGAAATGAGTCATAATGTTGGTGGTGTCCTCATTTGATACAGTTTTAGTTTCTGGATTATATGCAAGTTTATTAATGTGCGTGATTCCTTTAAGATTTACTCTATGTTGAACATTTGATAGACCACCAGTAATTCCATTACGGAGAATGTGATAAGCTTCAACTGAATCTAAAGTCATTGGTAAATTATTTTTTAATGCATAATTTCTTAAATTGATTCTTAAACGTTGAACATCTTCATCTTTATTTGATTTTACGACATTGCAATAACAACACATTAACTGACAATTTTCTTTGGTATGTGGTTTTTCATTATCGATTCTATCTAATGTTGGTTTATTTGCATATGTAAACGCTTTACCACACATTTTGCATTTAGATGAAAGGATTAAATCGTGATAGTATTGAAAATCATCCATTGAAACATTATTTTTAGTATCTCTTTCTGCTTTTTCATCTTGTTTCTTATATGATTCAATTTTATATTTCCAATACTTTTTCGTTAATTCAAAACTTGATTCTATCTCTTCCTCAGGATATTTTTCATTAGGATTAAAGTCTTTATATGCTAAAGCGTAACGAATCATTGAAGCATTCGATGATAAAGAAAGATTATGAAGCGTGTCAATTTTATAAACAAATGTTTCTTCAATAATTTTATCGATTGGGTCAATCATAATTTCAACATCTTTATTGCAATAATGAATAAAATATTCTAATCTATTCTTAAAATTTTTAGCATCATTGAGATATATTTGATAATCACTATCTGATATAGTTTCTTGGGTTAATGCTGAATAAAATGAATCTTTCGTGAATGGTTCCACTTTATATAATTCTTCTTCGTAATTCTCCCATGTGATGAATTGATAAGGGAAAAAGGATTTAACACGTGATTTATTGTTTCCGAAATCTTGAGTGAATTGATCTAATGTCCCACCCGCTATATAATTTCTGATGTCAATAAATCTCAATTCATATGGAACGTTTGTTTTCTTTACAATGATTTGCTTAAATTGTGAAGATGAACCCAGCATTGATTTTATTTTCCATTTTGCAGTGTTTAAATCATGAAGAATTAAATTTAAATCAAACTTTCCCGAATTAAAACCTATGATATTCACTTTATTGAATTCCTCATCTAGAAGTTCTTTAAATGCTTCCTTCTGTTTTTCATTTAATGTATGGGACAAAGTCCCCGCCGTTTGCGACTTCAATAATTCTTCATATTGTTCAATATTTGATTTAGCAACTAATGAACAGGTTGAAAATAAAAACTCAATCCAATCAGAAATAAAAGAATCACTCGAAGTTAAGCAAAAATTCCTCGTATATGTTTTATCGTTTAATTTAACCGTTGATGATACCATGAATGGTTTTAAGTAAGCGTTCAAAGTTGCACACTCAGAAAGTTGTAATTCTTCTTTAGTCTCTAATGTTTCAAAGTCAAAAGTAATATAATATCTTGTCGGTTTATAATATTTCTGCAAATTGTGAGCTAATAACCACTGATATATCTTCTGTTTCGTAATATGTGGTGCATATGGTTGCTGTGTCTTTTGCAACTGAACATCTTGAATTAATCTTCCATTGTTTTCTTTACATTTCTCACAATGCTTTAAAAATCTTCTTTGGTTTTTCCTTTCTGGATCATCACGGATAGAATAAACTTCTTCTTTACAATATGGACAAACTTTATAGCCGGTGAGTGCTTCAACGTCTGTTATTCTGTCAGCGTGAAGTTTTCCACATGGACTCTGTGTTAATAAAATATTTACTGTTTCAAATTCTGGATCTATCATTATTGATTCCACTAATGGAAAGTCTACCTTATTTATGTCCACGTCTTCTGGTTGAGGATCACAATAATAGAAATCAATATTAACATTTAACATTCTCGCTAATCTCTCACTTTCTGATGAAATGTCAAACCCGTCATATGCATCTATTGCTTCATTTAAATAGCTTCTACGAGTTTTAGGATTAACACCATCAGGAATGTTATAGAAGCGTTTAAATAACCTTCTACCTTCTGCTCTAATTTGATTATCATTCATTTTAGCTGTTCCGTTTTTGTTCATTTATGTAAGAAAAAAATATCAAAAAATAAATAAAAATAAACTTTATTTTTTAAAGCCCATAAAATGAATTAAGAATACATAAATTTTTATCATCCGCGATGTGACGAATACATTTTAATTTACTCAAGAATGTGTACCCTGATACATTAAATCTAATTCCTGTCTTATTTAATTTTACAACTTTGAAAAGGAATGTATGAATAGCTATAAAATGATGAGAAGATGTTTTATGGGTTGCTTCCATTTTTTCTGAAATAAATGAATAAATATAATGCTTATACGTTTTCATATCTTTTATGTTCTTAATAACGAATGGTATAGACCTTTCCACTTCGTCTTCCTTCGGTGCTGTTCTTTCATATGAAACATTATTAGTATCTTCAATAATGAAACCACAATCACACAAAATTTTATAGGTTCCAATGGTTTCTTTTGATATTTTATCTAATAAATCAAAAACTTTATCAACACCCGTGCATTTATTTAAATAATAATTTGTGTAAATATCATGATCTTCTTTCTTAATCGTATTAGTTGCATACGTCACGTTTTTAAGAGCTTTTTTGAATTTTTTGGAATCTAAAGGTGGTGAAAGTAGGATACAAGGGTATTCTTCATTATCAATAAATTGTAACTTATGTTTACGAATAAATTTAGTACCTTCTTCCGAAAGTGTTTCGTCTATTTCACCATCTAATAAATTTTGTGTTGATTCTGAGACATAATTTTTATATCTTTCTTCATGAGATTTCTGAACTTCTGATTCTGAAGCTGGGATATTCATTAAACCCTCTACTTCATTTTCATTATGTTTTTCAACTTCTCTTAATTCCTTAATTTTTTCATCTATTTCATCTCTTATTTTTTCCAGTCTTTCAATTTCATTATATTCATCATCTTTAATCCGTTCTTCATAATATTCAGGGAAAACATCAGGTTCTTTAGGTTTTTCTTTTTTAGATGTGGGATATAAGAAATTTATAACATCATCTTTATTCATTTTTCCATCATAACCAAACTCATTTAAAAACTCCGCGAATTTTTGACAATTTCCTAAATAATATTTATCAACCTCATAACCCGCCTCCTCTAATATATCCTTTATTTCCTCATTTGTGAATCCTAATTTTTTAACGTTGTTAGTTTTGACACTCATTTTATACAAAATAAAAAATAAATTATTCAAAAATGTATGACATTGAATTTTTAATGTCTTTGATTATGACTCCATTGATTCCATTCAGTTCTTCAAAAATAATTAATTAATCGTGGAATATCTGACATCATCTATATATGGCTTCTTTAAAAAATTAATGTTATTTCATTTCATTTCATTTCATTATATATGAGCTGAGTGTAAATGTCTTACAATTTTGAATATTTTTAAATCTTGATTTATTCAAAAACGTAAGAATAAAAACCGTAAGAATCATACATTTTTTACTTCATATGTTAGAAAAAATGATACAAAATCGTTCAATATTGTATGAATTCTTACATTTTCAAAAAAAGTCACATAACCCGCACTCATATACTACTTCTAATTTAAAATTATTTTTTTAAATTTTTTATAAAAAAACAAAATATGACCTGCATTTTCTAAGGATTTCGTCTTTAGTTTGTGTTCAATGATGTTGCCTTCATAAAAATATTAATATCCTTTCATAAATTTATCTTGAATTGGATTTTTGAGCCATCCAATAAGAATGGTATTTCTTGTATCTGTGTGAATCAAATTTTCTTTTATTCCTATTGAATAAAAAAATTATCTCAAAATAATTAAGAATTATTTTGGTATTTTGTGAATAAATATGTCATATAGGATATAAAAACTATGTTTCTATTTGAAAAAACGCTAACAAACAAAATGTTTTATTATTATTTGAAAAGATTAGGGACTAACTCAGCCAATTTTTCTTCTGGAATAATAAACTTTCCGAATTTCTCCATTGGGCTAATTGTCAACCTTGGAACAGGGAATCTTGAGATGATTTTCTCTTGAATGTAATTATCAACGCCAGATTGAGGATTTATGGTTGTATTAGAATATATCTCAATCTTATAGTCATGATCAACTACAATTATTGCTGGTTTTCCTACAATTTCCTCTGTAAATGAAATAGAGTCAACAATTTCAGAAGAAACCGTATTTTCGTCCGACCAAAACGATATCTGTGGAAAGTGAACTGCAATTAAGTTATTTGGACTTGTTATTGCAGAATGGTACCGATTTTTTTGGCCGAACAAAAAGAAACGAATGTACCACCTCATGGAAGGAAGAAGAGTAAAGAAAGGGTCAATTATGTTCTCTCCTGGAAGAGAATTTACAATTTTGGAATTGTACAAATTAAAGAGCTTCTGGAGGTTCTCTTGGTTGAGGAAATTATATGCAGTGTATTCTGGCCTCGCAGAAGATAAAATTGAGTAAAAATCAGAAGATGATCTGAATAACCTTGAAGAAACGTAGATTTTGTGGATGCAGCGATTCCATCCGATTGGCACATCGTATTCACAGATTATTTGAATAGGGAATTCTGTAAAATTGGTCGTAGTTTTTGATAATGAAATATTAAATGTAAAACTTGTTCCTTTCCTCAAAGAAGATCGCTTAACTGACTGTGGAGTAACTTCTATTAGAGGAGGAGTCAAGATATGAGTGTGAGCATTTAAAGCAAAATTATTAAATTCTAATCTTTGGACTAAAGCTTGAATTTGAAGGCCAATGTCCTCAACATTTAGTTGAGAGATAGCAAGCCCATCTATGTGTACTGATTTTTTAATTTTTGATGGGGAAATTAAGTCAAAAGAGATATTATGACTTCTTGAGAATTTTTCACAAAGATTTGTAAAGACAATAAAATGAATAAACTTATCTTTTGGTACTGGCTTAAAAATTTCTTCGAAATGAACGAAATTTTCAGAATTTTCAATATTTTTCATCCCAGAAATATAATTGATAATGGGATCGATATTATCGCTCTGATTTAGAAGGAAATCTAATGATGCAAGTTCGAAAAATCTACAGTCTAAAGAAAAATCAAATGAAATGCATTTTCCGTGATATATTTTAAGAAAAGAAAGAAAGTTCCCATGTAACAATATAAAGGCGAACTTCAATCCTGGTAGTAATGCTTGTAAAGCAATTTTTAAATAGCATTCCGAAATTTGGATGAATTCATTCTTGCATCTGAGATCATAGACAAAGCATATATTGAAATTTAATGAGTGTGGTGAATCTTGAATACCATAATCTTGAATTTTAAATTGATCTTCAACTAAAAACTCAGAAACAGTGCCGCAAAATGGACATATAAATTTTCCATCTTTATGAGTGAAAATATCCGATAAAAATGCCGAGCATTTTGAACATTGATGTTTTTCTGATGAAGGAATGTTAATGGGAGTAATTCTGTCGTCATAAGGAGATATTGTTATATTTAAAGGAACGATCATCTCTTCATAAATCCTTTTACACGAAGGCCAAACATTGAGAGATGATTCCATTTGTCACTTTTTGATAAAAAAATCATCAAAAAAATGTAAATTATCTATACTATGATTATTTTTGATTCAAATGCTGTTCGGCATTATAAGCAAAAATAATCATAATCAAGATAATTCCAATTTTATATACTTTTTGGGCGCTAAAGCGCCCGTAAAAAAAGTATATAAAATTGTTAATTTTCTTGTGGAAATATAAAAGATATATTGTAAAAATTGTATGTACAGAAATGCAAAATAAAGAATAATTTATGAAAAGTGACATTCGTCTTATTTTCACAACAACTGAGCGTTTTTATACTTCCTGCGATACAAGCGAAAGTAAAAACTGGAAGCTCATAATTATTCTATCAGCATAATAGCTATATGAATCAGCAATGTTGGTTCCATTCTGAATTATTCGTCCATAACTTTGTTTAATATAATCACGATAATACTTATAATTCAGATGCCAAAATGTCATACTAAAAATCGAAATTTTGATTCTCTTAAATGATTTTAACAGAATTCCTAATTAAGCAACTATGGGGATGTAAACATATATATTAATTATAGAAAAAGATTCTGAAATTTGACTAAAATTTGGAATTATTATTATAAATAATACATTTTCATTCGAATCTTAATTGTTTCTATAGACATGATTATTACTAAATGCATAAGAATATAATGCGTTATACTTCATAATATCATGAATATATAACTCATTACATTTAACAAGCTCAAGTGAAAAAAAAATATGGGAAAATGATTGTTTTACTTTCTAATGAAAATCTTCTTCGAAAAAATCAGAAAAATAAAGAATATCTTATGAAAGAACATTATTTTTTCGTACTATGTGAAATAAGAAGTTCTGCAGTTTCTTTACTATTATAATATGTTGCAATATGAAGTGCGGTTTCTCCATATTGATCTTGTTCATTGATATTTGCACCATGTGAAATAAGAAGTTCAGCAATTTCTTTACTATTTTTCATTGCTGCAATATGAAGTGCGGTTTTTCCATATTGATCTTGTTCATTGATATTTGCACCATGTGAAATAAGAAGTTCAACGATTTCTTTACTATTTTTCATTGCTGCAATGTGAAGTGCGGTATTCCCATCTTGATATTTTTCATTGATATTTGCACCATGTGAAATAAGAAATTCAACGATTTCTTTACTATTTTTCTTTGCTGCAATGCGAAGTGCGGTTTTTCCATCTTGATATTTTTCATTGATATTTGCACCATGTAAAATAAGAACTTCAGCAGTTTCTTTACTATTATAATGTACTGCATTATGAAGTACAGTTTCACCATATTCATCTTTTTCATTGATATTTGCACCATGTAAAATAAGAAGTTCAGCGGTTTCTTTACTATTATTCATTGCTGCAATATGAAGTGCGATTTCTCCATTTTTATTATTTTCATTGATATTTGCACCATGTAAAATAAGAAGTTCAGCGGTTTCTTTACTATTATAATGTACTGCATTATGAAGTACAGTTTCACCATATTCATCTTTTTCATTGATATTTGCACCATGTGATATAAGAAGTTCAGCGGTTTCTTTACTATTATTCATTGCTGCAATATGAAGTGCGATTTCTCCATTTTTATTATTTTCATTGATATTTGCACCATGTAAAATAAGAACTTCTGCAGTTTCTTTACTATTATTATATGTTGCAATATGAAGTGCGGTTTTTTCATATTTATCTTTTTCATTGATATTTGCACCATGCGAAATAAGAATTTCAGCATTTTCTTTACTATTTTTCATTGCTGCAATATGAAGAGCTGTTTTTCCATATTCATCTTGTTGCTTGACATTCTCACCATGTGAAAGGAAGTATTCCAAAAAGGATGGAATATTAAAAATAGGTGAATAAACAAAGCATTTGGTTATATCATCAGTTTGATTCAAACAAACTAAAAAGGATTCAAGATTATTGTAAAGTCCACACCAATATAAATCGATATCTATATTGTACTCATTCATCAAGAATGTAACAAAATCAATGTTGTGTGAAATAATTGCATATTTCATGCATTCTTCATCTGGTTCTTGATGTTTCAAACATTCACTCATGATCTCTTGATTTCTGCCTAAAAATGATAATTCTAGACATTTTTCGGTTATTTCTGAGTCAAATTTCGTTATTAAGAACTTGAAACAATCAATAGCTCCATAGTAACAGCATAATTCAAGTAATGAATATCCTTCTTCAGAATATGGATATAATTTGCATTTAAGTTTTTGATTTTTATCAAATCCATCTCTTTCAGTGAATGTGATGAAACTTTCTTTGTCATTATACATAATTGCTTTATAAACTGTATGAATATCGAGACTTTCAGTTTTAATTTTTTCGAAATCAAAAGATTTGTTTAATTTAATTCCGTATTCTTTATAAAACAGGAAGTTTGAAATAGGTTCAACATTGATGACATCAGTAACATGGTAATCATCAGATACGAGTTTGGCAAGAAATAAATATGACTTTGTATAGCGATTATTATACGGAATGATATCTAAAATGTCTTTGATAGCATTTGTGGGGGGATATTTATTTGAATCAATCAATCCTGTTTTGATCATTTTGTAAATTGACCTTAATTCTTCTTCTTTTTCAGTTTTTAGCTGGTACAATGCAATGTATGAATCGATATGGTATTTGTAAATATTTCGTAATTTGTTGTATTCCCTTGGATAATATTCATGGGTATACATTAATAATTTTTAAAAAAGATATAATTGCTATTTACCGTACGAAATAATCCTTAAATTCATTAAAAGAAAAAAAATACTATATTACACATGTAGAAAATAATGACCATAAAGATTTCGGATATAATTTATTACCATTCATTCTAAATCAATTGATTCTTTGAATGTAAATAAAGTGGTATATTTAGTCATTAACAATTTTGACTAATTTCAATGAATTTTTATCTTCAAATTTGCATGAGTATGACTTAGATGAATATCCTTAAGAAAACAATTTATACATATATTAGTAGAAAGCCGTGACTGATATAGATTGAGAATGGGATAAATTTATGAAATTAATTTCCAAATAAAAAGGTATTTATTGAATCTTTATAGATAGAAATCTGTCCCATATCAAAATTAAACCAATACAGTGATATCATGACTGAATTAAAAGTCTGGTTCACAAATCTGGAGAACGTGAGGTAAAAAAAAATCCTTTCAATATTTTTTGTGAGGACTTTATGTCACTTTTAATTCTTATCTTTTTGATTAGGAATAAAATTAACCACTGAAAAGTTTAGTCACTTTTGTGATTATTTACAAAGATTGAAAGTTTTACAAAGTATGTAGAACATATTTTGTAAAGCTATCAATTTTCTTCAAGAATTACAACATAGTTCGAAAATTTAAAACCGCTTCACTTATTCAATTTTCACCCTATTTTGTTAAGACTCAGTGAATGAAACATAAATATTTAAAAAAAATGACCGATTTTCAATTAATTCTTTCAAACAATAAATTTTGCAATATTTTTAGTCTCCTCACTGTTTCAATATAAGTTCCTTTTAAAAACGGTTTTTAAAAATCGTACATTGAAAAGTGTGAAAAAAATTAGATTTCAAAGAAACTCTTGCCGGTTTTGACAATTTGCGGTTTTTCATATTTTTGGTATGTGTTCAAAGCATAAAGTCACCGCTTTGATCAAATACAGATTTCCAAGATCTGATCCTGAAAGTCTCTATATCGATTCACATGGTGTTTTGCTTCATCCAACACAGTTTGGTTTCTATCCAAACATCGCAAACCCCCAGTTCGCATATCCATTAGCTCCAGATGGTCTTAATCCACGAAAGAGATCTACAAAGAATAAATCATCTGCACTTCCAATGCCAGTAATTCAAGTCTCACCACCAATTCCGACACAACAGCCAGGAGTAATAACAGTTCAGTTAATCCCTCCCGATTCAATGTTTTCCGTTGCCTCATCAGATCAGAACAAAGTCCAATTTGATGACCAGTTATCTCAAGGCAATGTCCAATTTGATGACCAGTTATCTCAAGGCAATGTCCAATTTGATGACCAGTTATCTCAAGGCAATGTCCAATCCGATGTTTAATTACTTGTCACTGTGTAACTTGGGATAGAAGGTTCACCGATTTTTGTATGAATATTCTTCCCAAGTCATATTTTTGTGACACCTTAAGAAAGCTCCATAACATGGACTTTTTTTTAATTTAAAAAAAAATTAATATTAATGAGTTTTTTATTTTTTGCATACTCTATTTCTATATCCAGTATCTATTTTAACCAAAAACTTGAAAAGATTATAAAAATATTGGGAAAATTTCTGAAGAAATTCGAAATTAATGGGATGATATATTTTTTCAAGTATCACATAACTATTTGCCCAATTTTCAGACTCGAAATATAATCAGGAAACGTTTTCAACTTTATTGATAAAATTCAGAGAACATTCAATAAATTATATCTGCTTTGAATTTTGAATTCATTTTAAATTTTTGTTGAAAAAAAAACCTAAAAAGAAGATTGAATAAAATTTTATAGATCATATCATAATATTTCATGAATATAGCGCATAAATATATGATTAAAATGAAATTTTAACTCAAAAAAAAAAGTAGTAGATGAGTGCGGGTTTAGTGACTTTTTTTGTTTCATCTATATATAGACGATGCATTAAAATATATTTATTTATAAATCATTAAAAAATTAACATTAATTTTAAAATAATTTATTTTTTTATCTTTTATAAAAGAAACTATATATAGATGATGTCAGATATTCCGCGATTAATTAAACATTGTTTAAATCCTGAATGGGTTAAACTTCAATTTAAAAATGAAGATTGTGAATTATTAAATGAATATGAAAGCCAAAATAAGCTAATGAGGTATAAATATAATGATAAAGAATATTTAATTTCATGGAATCAATGGAGTCATAATCAAAGACCTCATAAACGAGAAGAAGAAATTGAAAATAATGAAATGGAAATCATTGATGACATTAAAGAGGATGGAATTCCTAAATTTTGTAGAAAAACCTTTAGAACTAAGTTAGGAGCATATAAACGTAGAGTATTAAATCCTGAATATCTTAAACATCAATTTAAAAAGGAAGACTGCGAATTATTAAACGCTAATGAATATGAAAATGCTAAATCAAAACTGAGATATAAATATATTGGAAGTGATGAAAGGTGTAAAGATAAAGATAAAGTTTATACAGTTTCATATAATAACTGGCACACGTTAGGGATAAGAAAACATTTAGGAGATTATGGGAAATGTTCTGAATTCTTCAAATCTAGTATGTATGAGAGAGTAAAAGAAATCAGATATAATTATCATTCATGAATGAAAGATTCACTACCATAATGAAATAAAAAAAAATAAAAAAAATAAAAAAAATAAACTTTAAAAATTCATGTCTTACATTTTTTGAATAATTTATTTTTTTAATTCGTAAGAAAATGAGTGGATCAAGATTCGTAACCGTCAATCAATTAATGGATGTTCTTTCACCAATTCTTGAAAATGTTAAACAAGTAGATGTTTATTTCGATGATTATGTAGAAAGTATATATTATAAAGGTAAGTTTAATATTAAACCTATTGCTTTTGCATTTGATAATAAATTAATTGAAAATGCAAAAATTTGGGAATTAATTCCAGATATTGAATTTATAACAAATATTAATGATAAATGGTTTAAACGAATTCCAACCACAAAAGTTCTTTGTAAATTAATGATCAAAACTGAGGAAAAAGAATTTAACGGGTTTAAATATCATCCAAATAAAGTTTCAGAACTAGAAAATGAAAAACTTCAGAAAAAATTAAACGATAGACTTTCAAATGATCGTATTGAAAAAATAAATAAACTAGCAGAAGTTGCATTTAATAATGAAATATTTGATGAATATAACCTTGAACTCAGTGATGGACTTTAAGTCCTGGGCACTTTGTGCCTTGAGCTTTAAGGACCCGGGCTCAACGAGTCATGATTTATGAAATCAATAATTTGATTTATTCGCTCTTCAATAATTTCTATTCTTTTTGTTAAATCATCAATTTTCATTAATGAGGTGATTCTTGATTGAGGAATAGATTTTAAACTAACAACACCTTTTATTTTTGAAATTTTGAATCCATGACCCTCCGGGTCTTGGACTCTGTCCTCAACTTTAAACATTTTATTCAATTTACATGTTGTCAATTCTTCAAATAATTTTTTATTATTAGCATAATAGTCATTAAATTCATCAACAGATGAAAAAATTTTTATTTCAGTAATTGGTTTAACAACGTTTATTTTTTGTTGAACATTTTCACTTTCATTTATTTCTTCCTCCTTTGTTTCATTTATTTTTAAAATCGGTTTCATTTATCATTAAATAAAAATTAGAATATAAGTGATGAAATATATTTTTTAATTAATATTAAATCAGAGATGGCGGCAGGATTCTTTAAAAAATTATGGGAAGGAATTAAGAAAGCTGCAAGTTGGGTTCATCAAAAGATTATTAAAACCCGTTGCAAACTTTTTGGCACCAGTAGCGAAAACGGCAGGAACTATCATAGGAGGAGTATTAGGTGCTAAAGCAGGTAATCCAGCGATGGGAGCACAAGCAGGTAACGCAGTTGGTGGAATTGCTGAAGGAATACTTAATAAAATAGGAGGAAAGTAGTGGAAAAATAAATATTATTTTTATCTTAGTATCGGTTGTAGTCTTTGATAAACTTTTTCTCCTTTATTTAAAATTTCTCTTATTGGGGCAGCTTTTGGCGTTATTGATTCAGCAACGTCACTAATTGCTTCTTTATTCTTAAATATCCAATTTGCTCCTTTCTTAATCCCTTCCCAAACTTTATGCGCTCCTCTTTTTACTTTATCCCACAGTTTCTTAAATATACCTGCAGCCATAGTTGATTATTTCATTAAAATTAAAAATTCATTTTCATCTTTTAATTTTGATTTTTTATTTAATAATAAATGACGACTAACTATTTGGTGCCAAACACTAAACCGATTAATGGAAATGTATTTCATTCATTCGAAAAGATAAATGAAATATTCGCAAAGAATGACGGTAGAAGATATTATAGAGAACTTGAAAGTTCATGTTATGACTCTGATACTCCATATTTTGATGATAAACAAACTCATTTAAGAATTACAAATCCGGCTCATGATGTGAACCAATTAGGTGACACATATATTAAACGCAAAGTTAAAGCAACTCTAGTTTCAAATAAAGCTTTCACATGCGATGCCGCTTTTAAATGCATGCGTTTATTCGTTGGTTACAAATCATCAAATCAAAGCTTTAAACAATTAGAAGTAGAAACCGAAAGAGGTGATGCCGGTTATCTTCAAATGGATTGCGCCCGTGAATCTTTCGCATTTGCAACATATAAACCAAAATCAGAAAGGAAAGTTAAAAAGTTTGTTCATTCGTTATATAATAATGTTCAAAAATATGATAACTCAGTATGTGGTAAATATATTGACCCTTCAGAAGTTTTCAAGAAAGCAAATGAAGAAGTTGATGTCACTTTTGATATGATTATTCCGGTAAATGATTTGTTAGCATTTCAGGCGTTCGATGATTATCCTAAATCATTTGGTGAAATCATTCTTAAATATTATGTTTTCAGGGATACTTTAGTATTTTGTCAGGTTGACCCGTTAAGAGTTGCTGATTTACAAAATTACGTTTATGAAAAGATAACTGATGAAAATTATGAAAAGATTATGAATCATGTTTATAAATATGATCGCAAATTCCAACAAATCGGACTTCCTGCCAAATTAATTACAAGCTTAGCCGCTACATCTGCTGACGCAACAGTTGAAGACGTTATTATTTCATGCACAAAGATGGAAGTTTTAGAGATAAATGCATTACACCAGGATACGGTTTAATTGAAGAATCAGTTAAAGCAATACCACGTTTATTTAGTAAGGAAGATCCATTCATGATTCCAGCTCAACATATTGACGTTCGTTCACTAAATGGAGGTTGCATCACTCTGAAGGTATCAGCTCAGATTTCTCATACGCTCTTCATAATGTTACAGATGTTGTGTTAACATTTCCGAAGAATGCAATGCAAAGAACAGTTTTAGAAAATCCAATGCTTCGAGGTCTTCAGGTCACTATAGATTCCAGAAACTTCCCCGATCAAGCGATGACCACAGTGGGTGACATATTCTTTACACGTATGCTTCAAGCTTCTGATTTAGATGGAGTGAATGAATGCACGAAGAATACGAGGACTCATTAACTAGACCACTGAATGATGATAATGGCACGCCATTAGCTAGAACATGGAAAGACCAAACTTCATTCTTATGCACTATTCCAGTTCAACGTGATGGAGCGGGTATATTCTTTGATGGATTAGAAACTTTCAACTCACAAGTTACAGTACAAGTGAAAGCTTATCCAATCATTCAGGGTGAAAATGACACTTACTGTTCAAAAGTGACAAATCCTCCTCAGGTTTGGTTTACTAGGACTACATATTGGACATGGACACCGGATGAAGGTTTGAAATATCATCCAACAGGTACACCACCGCAGTATAGAAGTTCATATGATGAAATATTGATGAATAGAAATGTTTAAAATTATAAATTTATTTTTGATTAAATGGATTTAAATTCATCCACCCCTTATGAAGAATTAGCAGGAGTATATAATACATACGTAGATGATATGATTAATGAAGCATTGAGTGATAATAGAAATGCTCTATCTAAGGAAAAATTAATGAAAATTCCATATTCTGAATGTTACTTAAATTCAATCACTGCAGCAATTGGTAAACAAAATAAAGGTAAAACATTAACGATATTAAAACAAATTATCATTATTGCTAACACTTCCCCCATTCACATGTGTTAATTTATATCAACCGTTCAGGTTCACCTTCAGATGATACATTTGAATCTTTAAAGCATTTAATCAAAATTCCAATTATTTATTTATCACAAGAAGAAGCAGAAGATTATTTAAAAAACTTTGTAATGTATAAAGAATTATATAATACAATCAAGAAGCAAGGATTAGAGGATAAAATTATTGATAAACAACGGGATGAATTATTTGAAACACTTTCTATTTCAAATTTTGATAGAGAATTTTTGCATTCACTCATTTTTCTAGATGATGCGGTGAAATCAAAACTAATAACAAATGAGAAATCATATTTTAATCAGTTATTAACTCAATGTCGACACATTCAGTGTTCATTCTTCATGGCTGTTCAATACTTTAAAGCATTAAGCACAAACATTAAATCAAACCTGTCCACCCTTTTCATTTTCAGTGGTTTTAGTCGTCAACAGTTGAACGTTATGCTTTATCAAGTGAATTTACCAATGAGCATTAATGAACTTTACACACAATATCAACAATTAGGAGAACATGGAAAAATAATAGTTGATTTAAATAAAGGTTCCATTAAATTCGAATAACTTTTTATAATTAATTTTTATTTTTTATTTATAATTAAACATGACAGAAATTGCAAATCTTCTACAGGTTCCATTAAAACAAGGAACAAACAAAAAGGGTGCATATAATAGAACTATGAAAGTTCCAGACGGAATGAAAGAATTAGTCCACATTGTTGCCGGTCTTCAAAAGGATGTTAAACAAATGAGAAACGTTTTAACATTACCAGAAGCTCAAGCATATGCCAAACGTCACGGACCAAATTGGGAAGCACACGAAGCAGACATTACGGGTCCAAATGGAAAACCTGATGGAATAAATGAAGTTTTCGTTACTGATGGTCAAGGAAATATTAAAGTCATAAATGGGTATAAATTAACAATGACGGATTATCCTAAACGTAAAGCATATAATGAACATTATCCTATGCAATTTGATGAAAATGGAAAAGCTGTTAAACAATACATTGGAGAAGGTGAAAATGGTCCAATTAATTCATACCGTCATAATCCATATTCTTACTTCAATGAAGAATTAAATGCTATTGAAGAGGGACCGGATGGATTACCACGATATTCTAACCAGTTTGATGGTCAATATGCAAATTTAGACTGAAATTCCAGCTAAGAAATTCTTTAAAGTTGCTTTATTCGATCCAGTTTTCGCAAATGTTAAAGATGAACTTAAACAGCAATTCCAACCAATTATAGTAGCAAGAATTGCATCAGGTGCTTTATCTCAAGCATTCAAAGATTTAATTAAGAAACCATTATATCAGCAACGAGGTTTAACTTATGATTTAGTTAAGGAATCAGATAAAAGAAAATTTGAGAAATCAGATGATTATAAGAATGCAATTAATGAATATATTCGGTCTATTAATTTCGATGAAAATGCTAAAAATCAACTTCATGAACAAATACAGGAAATAATAGATTCAAAAGTTCCAGCAAAATAAAAGTTTAAATATATTTTTTTATTCGAATATAAATGAGAAGACGTTTCACTAGTCAAAAGAACACTAACGCAAAAGCAGAGATTACGGTTGGTTATAACGTAAATGATGATAAATCACGAATTATTCAAAATGTTAAAGTTAATGTTAGTCCTGAATTAACAAGGTCAGCAACTCAACCAAATTTATTAACTCGTGACTTACCGAAGAATGAGGAGAATGAAGAAAACCGTGAGAATGGAGACCCAATCATTTTATCTGAACCTGGTAAAGAACCTGTTGAAATTCCCACTTATCCAACATACCCCCCACCTCTTTCATCAAACATCGAGAACCCAGGAATCTACGATTACAGTCGCAATGCGCCATATAAAATAGACATTAATTCTGAATTAATGAAAATTTACCGTGATATCATAACTGATAATTATGATTCAATAATAAATTTAATTGACCAATCCGGTTTAATTATTTTACCTTATGAATCATTAATTCACATTATCGCCATTCTTTGTGATGTTCAAGATTCAGACGTGAAGATTCAATTTTTCATAGATGATGAGGTTTCATGCTGCGGAACAGTTGCAAAAATAAATCCTATAAAGGATATTAGCACAATTAAGATATCAAAGAACGGAACAACAACTGAACTTCATTTAACATATAATGATATTTATAATAAAATAGTTGATGAATATAAAATATCACTTGAAAAATTCTTTGTTAAGGCTATTTAATATTCAAGCATTAACATTATCGAATAATAATCCTTTGAATCATAATCGATAATAATTGACCTTTCACCAGTTTCTATCGTTTGTTTTATTTCTTTTTGTTCCCCACTATCCGGATCGGTCATTGTAATTGTTTTTGTTATAGTATCAGCTTTATCTTTAACTTCAATCTTTTTTCCATCGGGATATTTAAACCAAAATTCCAAAAATTCGATATTGTCAATCTGTTCATATTTTAATCTATCAATTACATTTTTAATACCATCTGAAAATCTTATGAAATGGTCATTATATGGGTTTGATTGAACTAAATTTGAATGAAGTGAAATATAACCTGATGATGAATGACATCGACTCATATTTTCTGAAAAACTAAAATTTATAACATGAATGAATTTCTTATTCGTTGAATTTATGAATTCTTGAGGTAATCTTATTCTAGTTTTATTTATCACTGGAAAATAACGCTTTACCATATTTTTAATCGTAATAAAAAATGTCAATTATCAATATTATTTCGAATAATAACTGTGAATTAAATTTAACAGTTAGCGGAATTTATAATGTTACTCTCGTTTCTGTGAGTGGTAAATTTAATCCCATTCTTTTAGACCCTTCAGATTATATATCATTTATTAAAGATGACCATGAGCCGCATAGCGGCGGGGTCGTAGACCTAAAAACGTATGATATGTATATAAATAATGTGATAACGAAATGGGATATTAACATGATTTTAAGTTATTTAAATGAATCATTTATCGTATGGTATGAAGAAAATTTTAAATCAAAACCTGATAAACTTTTTGAACTTGATGAAATAAATAACCTTATTAAATTTCCGCTGAAAATTAAATTTTGTACTCCTCGTCTTCGTTCATTGTTGGGGATATTAAATTTTGAAAAAGATGTTGGGGATGTTTTGTATTCTGACACTGGTTCTAATTTCATTTTAATCAAATGTGATAAAGTTAATACCCCAATGAGATTTTCACATCAAACATTAGACCCTAACTCTTACCCATCAATACAAAACATTTTATCCATCAACTTAAACATATTTTCTTTATCATATCCGTTTCAATTATCCGGGAATTCATTTATTCTTCATTCAAAAGATTTATCAAATATTAAATTTAGAATAACTGACCTATTTGATTGTGATTTAGAATTTATGAATGAAATATTATGGCAATTTCAAATAGAAAAAATAGCTGATGAGATAACAGATTAAATATTTATTTTTAAATCGTAATAAATGATTAAACAACAGCAACCACAGACCATTACATACGCCATATATGCATATAATTCAAAGACGGCAGAACAAACGCAAATGTTGAAATATGGAGATTTGGAGATAGTATTGAAAAATGACCATTTCGAATTCGTTTGCAAAGGTGGTGCAGTGATATCAAATATAAAAGAAATTTTATTTATGAATTCAAAAATTAAAGGAATAACGGATGATATAACATCAATTCCACCAGAAGAACAAAGATATTACGCATTAAATGCATTTCCTAAAGTTTTGAAGATTGGAAGATTTAATTTAAATGAGGAATTCATAAAAGGTTTCCTAAATGACATAATGAAGAAAGCAGATAAGGAATATGTTAACGATGAGTTAGCAAAGAAAGCAGATATATCATTTGTTAACGATGAGTTAGCAAAGAAAGCAGATAAAACTTATGTTAACGATGAGTTAGCAAAGAAAGCAGATATATCATTTGTTAACGATGAGTTAGCAAAGAAGGCAGATAAGGAATATGTTAACGATGAGTTAGCAAAGAAGGCAGATAAGGAATATGTTAATGAAAAAGATAATGAAATTATAGAAAGGGTTGAATGGTATCATGAACGGACATCGAAGATTCTTAAAACTAAAGCTGATACAGGATGGGTTTCAGAATGTTTAGACCTTAAAGCAGATATATCATTTGTTAACGATGAGTTAGGGAAGAAAGCAGATAAGGAATATGTTAACGATGAGTTAGCAAAGAAAGCAGATAAGGAATATGTTAACGATGAGTTAGCAAAGAAGGCAGATAAGGAATATGTTAACGATGAGTTAGCAAAGAAAGCAGATATATCATTTGTTAACGAAATATACCAAAGTTTAGTTGGAACAAAAAATATTGAAACTATTGTTGGCGACTTTTCTGTCAATGAAGAAAACAAATATTTTAGATGGGAGTTTGTACAGTCCTTAAGAAATGGTATACGGTATAAACTCATTCCGAAAAATAACAATGAAATGTATGTAGGCTATATAAAGAATAATGGCACACAAGTTAAAGTTCCATTAGACAACAACTGCTACTTAAACTTATATGGAGACGAACAAAAGAAATATTTAAGAGTTTATGAAATGACGGATATGACATTGTCTAACGTAGCTCCAGCACCGTATTATTATGACTATGGTGTTGACGCACATGTAGACCCAAAAAAGCAAACATTATATTTAGATTATTATAGATATAAAAGATATAATGCAATAGAAAAAACGAGAATAGTATACTATTATGAAGATGACAAAAATAAATATTATAGTCAAGATTTTACATACCCTGAAAACATAAGATTATATTATAAAAAATATTCTGACACAAACCAGAAGAAACCCGAAATAGTTACACTATATTTTAAGTTCAAAAGAGACAATCCTATAATATCTCATATGTTTGATTTAATGAACCCAGTAGGTTCTATTTATACATCTATGGATGTGAGAGGTCCTCAAGCAATGTTTGGTGTTGGTGCATGGGAACAAATAGTCGACAGGTTTTTGTATTGTGCAAACTCTTCAAAGGAAACAGGGGGAAGTAAAACAATTACGGGTGAAAATTTACCTGCACACAGTCACTACATAGATTTAAGCACATCTCAAGCAGGTTGGCATAAGCATAGATATTGGGATTGGTCAGGAATGACAAAAGGTAAAGGATATGATGTTAAAGATGATGTTAAATTTGCCATAAATTGTTACTGGAGTGACACTCAGGGAGAAGGAAACCATACACATCGCGTTTCAGGATATACACAAACAACGGGACAAAGTAAAGATTACATGCCACCATTTATGACTGTATTCGCATGGTATAGAGTTCAATGAACGCTCAATGTTTGTGAAACAAACTTTAGGAGCTCCAAAAGAGCAAACAGCATAATTTAAATTTTTATTTTAGTATAAATGAAGATTCTACCATATGGTGTTATTGGAAGAGATAAAGATGGAAACCCAATATTTGATCCAAAGTTAAAATTAAAGTTACTGACAAGACAACAACTTGAAAAGTTGCTGAAACCAAAACAGAATGAAAAATGAGAAAATGAGAAAATGAGAAAGAAAAAAAATTTAAATTATGCAATTTTATTTTTATCATAAATGACCAAATTAATTAAGCCAACTATTTCTAAATTAATGATACCAATGAAATCATTTCATGGAGTACTTATCCCAGGTTCTTCACAATTAGCCGGGGCAAGTGTTGTGACTCAAGGTGGAACATTAGCGAATCCATTCAAATTATTAACTAAAGATGAACTTAATAAAATGATGATAAAATAACTGATAACAAAATTTTATTTCAGTGCTACCATGCTACCATGTGCTACCAGGTCATTTAACTTCTCTGAAAAAATGTGACAACATGACATTTTGACAACACAGCAGGAGGAAGGTAGTTATTAATTAATTATTGAATAACCTAAAAACATGAGACTTTGTCTCCGGACTCTTTGAGTCACTTCACGATAAAATAAGTGATAACAAATTTTTATTTTTATCATAAATGAATACCCCACAAGCTCAAAATTTACCACGAATCATAACAAGGGAGGAAATGATAAAAATGATGCAAGAACATGTTAAAAATAACAAACCACTAAAATTGAGAAAATGTGGTTATGCGGTAATGATGGAAAGAGAGATGTTGTCGAAGAGGAATAAAAATTAAATTTGGATAGAGTTTAAAAATTCATCTTTATTAAATTCATCTCTTCCAATCAATTTATTTATTCTATTTAAATTCTTTTATTTTTGCTTCACTCAGTTTAAGGATTGAACGATAAGTTTCTAATTTTTCGATTATTTCTTTCCTCTCTTTATCGTTTTCAACCCCACCACATTGTGGCTTCTTTTTGTAATAACATATTTTTGATTTAATTCTGTTTAGTTTCTTTTTATATTCATCGTCTGGACTCTTGACTGCTTCGTTGTTACTCATTTCTTACGAAATAAAAAAATTAAATATTATTTAAATATAATGGAGTAATAAAATAAATCGGAATTTCTATTAATTTATTGTCAACTTCAACTAATGCATTGCCGTTAATATATCTAACAAATTCAGCTATTGTGTCAAATCTTCGTCTTCTTTTTGTCATTGATTTATCAGTTTTTCCATAATCGAGATGAATTAAAACTTTATTCCCTTGTTTAAAATTCATGAGCCCCGAATTAATTTGTTCACGTTTAACATCATTCAACCTTTCCATTTGCTTTCTAATATATTCCCATTCTTTTGAAATATCATTTTTCATTTCCACCGGTTTCATGTTTATTGTTCTATGCCATGTATTATTGTAATAATATACTAACTGCTGTATGATGGAGTCATGATTTCCATCCCAGTATATCTGACCATTAACCCCTAACGCATCTCTAAGAGTTCTCATTACCGCATCAACTATTTTATTATGAAACGTAAATGGAGAGGATGAAAAGTAAAAATTAATTTGTGGGAAATAATGAGTCATAGCTGCCTGAAATCCTTTATCACCATCACCCCTTATATTATCTACTCTTTCATGATCTAGTAAGTATTGAATAGCTCTTCTTGTTTCCTGTTCTGTTTTCCCTTTCACTGGAATGCAATATAAATATCTAGTGTTAATGTTAATGGCAAATAAATAAGTAACGTTTCCTCTTGAATATTCTAAATGATCGATTTCGTATGAATATGGATATGGTGCAAATGAAGGGCGACTAAATTTTTCCTTTAACGGTTGAATTTTTGGGTCATTGGTTTATTTAATATTTTGAAATCCTTTTTAAAATCTTTTTGCTTCTTTAATGTTTGAAATGGATATAATAAAGTGAATGATGAAGGATTAACTGAAGGAGGAGGGGTACTGTCGTTGGAGGTTTGGTGTTGCAGGTGGTTTAATTTTATCTGCTTTGATTTTGGATTTCATTCCCCCTTCATTAATTCTGGATGTATTCTATTCATTTGTTTTAAATATGCTGTATATAAAGGTTTGATATACTTTCCCGCTTCGAGTTTATGTTGAAGGATGAATTCCAAAAGTTGATCTTCATTTAAAAGTCGGGCTGAATATGGTTTAACTAATGAATCATAAATTAAAGCTTGTGCTTCATTTATGGTCTGAAGGACCTGGGCGTTTTGCACCTTTTGTTTTTGTTCCTTTGGTTTTTGCGGCTCAGGATTATATAATTTATATAATTTATATAATTCATCAATATCTTCTTCTGTTAATACTTTATTTTTGAAATCTTTCAATTGTTTAAGTTGTGATTTACTTTTTCCCTTTGAATATTCATTATTTTTAATTTTGTCTTTAATTTTAGAAATTATTTTATCATGATATTTCAAAACTTCATTTTTATAATACGAATAATAATAATCCATATCATCACCCGTTATATTGTTATCATGTTTTTGGAGATATGATTTTAATTCATAATAATTAAGAAAATTTTGATTAAGTACTAAATCATCAATTAAATTTTTTAAATCTACGCTATTCATTTATATAAAAATAAAATAAGTGTTTTAAGGGTGCCCGCCTCTTTGAATCATAGTATCAAAACCATTATTTACGGTTCCTTTTGTCTCTTCTGTGGCATTTTATTAAATAAATGGCATACAACATCCATTTTCACAACATACAGCCTTAGTGTGTGCTCCTGTTAATGCAGTCTTACCGATTGTTAAGCGAGTCATTGACCCGTTTTTAAGTTGTAAATTAATATTCTGACCATCAAATATCACTTTATCATTTATTATATCCAAATAATTTTTAGGTGTTAATTGTTTATTTTGTCGTAAACTAACTCCTTTCATTTTTTGTGCAATCTTTTTAAAATCACTTCCATCAATTGAACCGTTGAATGAAGTATAACACTTAGGACATAAAGCAACCATGTTATCACCTTGTTTCTCAATTGCTAAACCCAATAACTTCTTCTCATGTGCTTTTTCTTCAGCTTTATTCTTTAATTTAGGTTTAAATTTCTCATTAAAACAGAAGAAATCAAAAGGTGCGAATTTGTAAATGTTTTTATCATAAAATTTTTTATCGGTTACAATTGCTTGAAATGCTTGAGTGTTAGGAAGATTTGGGTCGCCAGCGATTGCCCAATAAGATGAATCAGTATCACCTTCAATGAAATGAAAACGATTAACATCCATGCATTTATACATAAAATCATAAATGAAAACCAAATACCAGTATTTTGCGTTATCTAAAGTGAAGAATGCCTCTTGTAAACATGTATCACATCTATAAAATCTATCTTTAAGCATCACTTGATACGTATCTTCCTATTTCTCTTATGTTTTTAAACTTATTTGACATACATGCAACGCGTGCCTTCTGTGCATTCATTATTTTAGTCTTTGCGTAATTTTGTGTATTCATTGCATCGTAACCATATGATCCATTAAGTGAAATCTTGCAAAATAAACTTTTTCCTTTATTTCCTTCTAATTCAGCCTTTTGTCTTTCGTTCATAAATTCGTTCGCAAATTCATTAAAACAAGTATTTTTCGTAAATGTTAAAATTGATTGAATGTCATCAATGATAAAATGAAATCTGTCTATTAGATACCAAAGATAATAAGAAGAAAATGGTTGATATTGGTTGTGTGTTGATGCTAACTGAGTTAATTTCCTCTGTTTCTGGTCAACTGGTAGATTGTTTGATTTCATGTAATTATACATAAAACTGCCAATTGTTTTTTCATCTGTGATAATATCAAAGTTTCTTATTATTGGTAAAAAGTTTATGTAATCATTAATGTATTTTTCATCAATGTGACCCTTTACTTCAGCCACGAATAAAGTATTTTTCTTCTTAATTATTCCCAGTGCTTTTGCTTTCTTTGTTGCTGTATCACAAATGATAACACCATTCAATCTTCCCGGCATATACATTTTATGGTCAGTATATTGAATGAAATCATGAGGATTAGATGAAAATGATGAAGGATATAATGAATTAAAGTCAACACCAACGAAATGAGTCATAATGTTGGAAGTGTCCTCATTTGATACAGTTTTAGTTTCTGGATTATATGAAAGTTTATTAATGTGCGTGATTCCTTTAAGATTTACTCTATGTTGAACATTTGATAAACCACCAGTAATTCCATTACGGAGGATGTGATAAGCTTCAACTGAATCTAGAGTCATTGGTAAATTATTTTTTAATGTATAATTTCTTAAATTGATTCTTAAACGTTGAACATCTTCATCTTTATTTGATTTTACGACATTGCAATAACAACACATTAACTGACAATTTTCTTTGGTATGTGGTTTTTCATTATCGATTCTATCTAATGTTGGTTTATTAGCATATGTAAACGCTTTACCACACATTTTGCATTTAGATGAAAGGATTAAATCGTGATAGTATTGATAGTCATCCATTGAAACATTGTTTTTAGTATCCCTTTCTGCTTTTTCATCTTGTTTCTTATATGAATCAATTTTATATTTCCAATACTTTTTTGTTAATTCAAAACTTGATTCCACATTTTCTTCTTCTGGATATGTTTCGTTAGGATTGAAGTTCTTATATGCTAACGCGTAACGAATCATTGATGCATTCGATGATAAAGAAAGATTATGAAGCATGTCAATTTTATAAACAAATGTTTCTTCAATAATTTTATCAATTGGGTCAATCATAATTTCAACGTCTTTATTGCAATAATGAATAAAATATTCTAATCTATTCTCAAAATTTTTAGCATCATTGAGATATATTTGATAATCTGAATCGGATATTGTTTCTTGAGTTAATGCTGAATAAAATGAATCTTGAGTGAATGGTTCCACTTTATATAATTCATCTTCGTAATTCTCCCATGTGATGAATTGATAAGGGAAAAAGGATTTAACACGTGATTTATTGTTTCCGAAATCTTGAGTGAATTGGTCTAATGTTCCACCCGCTATATAATTTCTGATGTCAATAAATCTTAATTCATATGGACAGTTTGTTTTCTTTACAATGATTTGCTTAAATTGAGAAGAAGAACCCAGCATTGATTTTATTTTCCATTTTGCAGTGTTTAAATCACGAAGAATTAAATTTAAATCAAACTTTCCCGAATTAAAACCTATGATATTCACTTTATTGAATTCCTCATCTAGAAGTTCTTTAAATGCTTCCTTCTGTTTTTCATTTAATGTATGGGACAAAGTCCCCGCCGTTTGGTCCGTTTGCGGCTTCATTAATTCTTCATATTGTTCAATATTTGATTTAGCAACTAATGAACAGGTTGAAAATAAAAATTCAATCCAATCAGAGATGAACGAATCACTTGATGTTAAGCAAAAATTCCTCGTAAATGTTTTATCACGGTCTACGACCTCGCCGCTTCGGTCTGAAAGACCTTCAGGACTCAAAGAGTCCGTTTGCGGCTTTATTTTGACAGTTGATGATACCATAAATGGTTTTAAGTAAGCGTTCAAAGTTGCACATTCAGAAAGTTGAAGTTCTTCTTTAGTCTCTAATGTTTCGAAGTCAAAAGTAATATAATATCTTGTTGGTTTATAATATTCCTGCAAATTGTGAGCTAATAGCCATTGATATATCTTCTGTTTCGTGATATGTGGTGCATATGGTTGTTGTGTGTTTTGCAATTGAACGTCTTGAATTAATCTTCCATTATTTTCTTTACATTTCTCACAATGCTTTAAAAATCTTCTTTGGTTTTTCCTTTCTGGGTCATCACGGATAGAATATACTTCTTCTTTGCAAAAGGGGCAAACTTTATATCCTGTGAGTGCTTCAACGTCTGTAATTCTGTCAGCGTGAAGTTTTCCACATGGACTCTGTGTTAATAAAATATTTACTGTTTCAAATTCTGGATCTATCATTATTGATTCCACTAATGGAAAGTCTACCTTATTTATGTCTACGTCTTCTGGTTGAGGGTCACAATAATAAAAATCAATATTAACGTTTAACATTCTTGCTAACCTCTCACTTTCTGATGAAATGTCAAATCCTTCATATGCATCTATGGCTTCATTTAAATAACTTCTACGAGTTTTAGGATTAACACCATCAGGAATGTTATAGAAGCGTTTAAATAACCTTCTACCTTCGGCTCTTATTTGATTATCATTCATTTTAGCTGTTCCGTTTTTGTTCATTTATGTAAGAATAAAAAATTAAAAAATAAATAAAAATAAAGTTTATTTTTTTAAAGTCCAGGGCTAAAGTCCATAAAATGAATTAAGAACACATAAATTTTTATCATCTGCGACGTGACGAATACATTTTAATTTACTCAAGAATGCGTACCCTGATACATTAAATCTAATTCCTGTCTTATTTAATTTCACAACTTTGAAAAGGAATGTATGAATAGCTATAAAATGATGAGATGATGTTTTATGGGTTGCTTCCATTTTTTCTGAAATAAATGAATAAATATAATGTTTATAAGTTTTCATATCTTTTATATTCTTAATAACGAATGGTATAGACCTTTCAACTTCGTCTTCCTTCGGTGCTGTTCTTTCATATGAAACATTATTAGTATCTTCAATAATGAAACCACAATCGCATAAAATTTTATATGTACCAATTGTTTCTTTTGATATTTTATCTAACAAATCAAAAACTTTATCAACACCTGTACATTTATTTAAATAATAATTTGTGTAAATATCATGGTCTTCTTTCTTAATCGTATTTGTTGCATATGTTACATTTTTCAGTGCTTTTTTGAATTTTTCAGAATCAAGAGGAGGTGAAAGTAATATACATGGATAATCTCCATCGTCAATAAATTGTAACTTATGTTTATGAATAAATTTTGTGCCTTCTTCTGAAAGTGTTTCATCTATTTCACCATCTAATAAATTTTTAGTAGATTCCAAAAAGTAATTTTTATATCTTTCTTCATGAGATTTTTGAACTTCTGATTCTGAAGCTGGGATATTCATTAAACCCTCTACTTCATTCTCATTATATTTTTCAACTTCTCTTAATTCCTTAATTTTTTCATCTATTTCATCTCTTATTTTTTCCAGTCTTTCAATTTCATCATATTCATCATCTTTAATCCGTTCTTCATAATATTCAGGGAAAACATCAGGTTCTTTAGGTTTTTCTTCTTCAGATGTGGGATATAAGAAATTTATAACATCATCTTTATTCATTTTTCCATCATAATCTAAATCATTTAATAACTCCGCGAATTTTTGACAATTTCTTAAATAATATTTATTAACTTCATAACTCGCCTCCTCTAATATATCCTTTATTTCCTCGTTTGTGAATCCCAATTTTTTAACGTCGTTAGTCTTGACACTCATTTTCTTACGAATTAAAAAAATAAATTATTCAAAAAATGTAAGACATGAATTTTTAAAGTTTATTTTTTTATTTTTTTTTATTTTTTTTTATTTCATTATGGTAGTGAATCTTTCATTCATGAATGATAATTATATCTGATTTCTTTTACTCTCTCATACATACTAGATTTGAAGAATTCAGAACATTTCCCATAATCTCCTAAATGTTTTCTTATCCCTAACGTGTGCCAGTTATTATATGAAACTGTATAAACTTTATCTTTATCTTTACACCTTTCATCACTTCCAATATATTTATATCTCAGTTTTGATTTAGCATTTTCATATTCATTAGCGTTTAATAATTCGCAGTCTTCCTTTTTAAATTGATGTTTAAGATATTCAGGATTTAATACTCTACGTTTATATGCTCCTAACTTAGTTCTAAAGGTTTTTCTACAAAATTTAGGAATTCCATCCTCTTTAATGTCATCAATGATTTCCATTTCATTATTTTCAATTTCTTCTTCTCGTTTATGAGGTCTTTGATTATGACTCCATTGATTCCATGAAATTAAATATTCTTTATCATTATATTTATACCTCATTAGCTTATTTTGGCTTTCATATTCATTTAATAATTCACAATCTTCATTTTTAAATTGAAGTTTAACCCATTCAGGATTTAAACAATGTTTAATTAATCGCGGAATATCTGACATCATCTATATATATTCTTTTATAAAAGATAAAAAAATAAATTATTTTAAAATTAATGTTAATTTTTTAATGATTTATAAATAAATATATTTTAATGCATCGTCTATATATAGATGAAACAAAAAAAGTCACTAAACCCGCACTCATCTACTACTAAAAAAACAAGAAAATTATATTTCTTAAAAGGCAAATATAGTTAGATTTATATACTAAAGAATGTTTATTACTATAAAATGAGATGATTTTAAAATCAATCAAATAATATTTTTATTTATTTAAGATTTAAAGCCCATGTAGCCGCAATCGTTCCATCAAGTTGTTTGCCACTTTCGAAGGACTCGAAAGCCTTCTTAAGAACTTCTGGATCCTCATTTTGGGAGTGATTTGTAAGAATATGACGAACGTATGGAATTTCAAACTCTGGGTGTCCTTGGTATGTAACTACATGGTCGCCGATAGTAAAACCACCATATTTGCAAAAATCATCTGTCAAGAAGCAAACAGCGTCCTTTGGAAGCTCTACGACCTGATCATGATGAAGATAAAGTAGATTTACTTCTCCTTTTGTATAGTATTTCTTAGCTTCTGGTGTAATAATTTTTGATGTGCGGATACCAGTTCCAAAACCTCCTGGGAACTTAATAACTTTGCCGCCAAGTGCTTCAGCAATGACTTGATGACCAAAGCAAACGCCAAGAATCCTTGTTTTAGCAGCGACTGCTTTGATTATCCATTGTTTAAGCTTATTGATCCATTCAATGTCCTGGCAAGCGCCATTATTACTTCCGGTAATGACGTAAAGCTCATCATTATGCAGTTCTTGTGGTAATTCGCCATTCAATGTTAAGAAAACATTGAATTTTAATCCATCTGCTACGGAATTGAAGAGTTTCATGAACATATCTTCATATGATTTAACGAAATCTGGTAAAAGTCCTGGGAATGTGTCGCAAAGTAAAATGTTAACTGTCTTCATTTCTGAAAAAGTGACATCACGATGAAATTTATCCATACACCATGATGTATTCATATTTGGCCGATCAATTATTTATTATGACAAGATAGCTCAGCTAATGAGAATTTTGTTTTCCAATTCCAAATGATGAAATAATTTGAAATTGCACTTATTCAGCTTTTGCATTACTTTGATGTTGGCAGTCATATGTTTAAAGCATGTTGATGTCATATTCTGATTTAGTCTAGCTATACATTTTTAGCTCACAATTTCAAATTTATCTGGATTGTTCACAGTGCTTCCGAATAAGATTATATAAGATTTTAGCCATTGTATCGTTACACAGTGCTATTCATTAAGTTTATAAAGGATTTCAAATATTTGTTAGAATATAAGTTACGTATCAGTGTTGTTCCATAGATATATGGAATATCATGACTATGGTTATTTTGAAATATTGATTAAAATAACCATTCATGCATAATGCAATATGATATGGTTATGAATCTTGCAATTCCATTTGTTTTCAAAGGGTTTTGAGGATGCATGACATCACTTGTCAATGACATATAAAGTTTTGACTTAAAAATTATTATATATAAAATTTTTTTATTCTTGTGTAAACAAACTATCTAATTGTGTTGCAAATTCTCTTATTTTTGGATCTTGAGAATTGATGCAGTCAGAAATTAGTTCTCTATAGTCAACCAAGTTATTTGCCAAGGTTTCTAAGTCTTCATTTCGCGACTGTTGTTTGAAATAGTCTTGGATAAGGCAGAACAGTTCTAGTGCGTATTCTGGTTGATCTGACTCTAGTAGATTTGAGAAATACTGCATCAATTCAGGACATTGAAGAACTAGCTCGATTTTATCAGGAGAGAAGCTTACAATGATCGCAATGAGTCTTACATAGATCTCCTTGACTATTAATTGCTTCAAACCGTGCATTCCTGTGCTAGTAAATAATTTTAAGTAACTATCAACGAATTCGTCAGGGAATGACTTAACAAAGAAGATAATTTCATGGAGAGCTTCAAGTGGTGGTATTGGATCGGGAACTTTGACTTTTTGTGTCACTTTTGGTTTGATTACTTTTGTCACTTTTTTGGGTTTTTGTTTTCCAAATTTTTCTGTCACTTTTTGGAATTTTTCATCTTCTTCAGTTTTTTCAATTGCTTCTGGCGTGGGGATATTAAGTATACTATAAATACGATCAAATATTGGTTTTATCAATTCTTCGATGTCAAATTTTTCATTACAAGTTATTTCTGGGACTTGGTTGAACATTGAGAACAATTCCTTAGCAAGTCTGCATGCTGAATCATAAAATGGATCACGTAAGAAGCCAATTATAAACAGGTTTATGAATTCAACGTGATCTTGTACTTCTTTATAAATATCAGGTCTGATGTAAAGCGTAATTGTATCTAGTAACTTATTAATCCATTTCTCTGACAAATTCTGGACTTGTCTGAGGATACTTACTGTGAATTCGAAAACATCTTGTTGTAAATTGCATTTTGAGACTGAGTAAAGGTAAAATGATATGCATGCTGGATTTTGGCCCATTGTATTGTATATCAATTCAAGAGGAAAAAGTTCTATAATGAATTGATTCATAATCTCACTGTATTGGGCAATACAAGAGATGATTTTACATATGCCAATGGCTAGTGGATCTGATGAGGCAGCTTCACCAATGCCTACGAGGTATTCTCTCATCTTGGAAAAGTAATGTTGGTTATTTTCTAATATTTTAAAGAGATTAGCATCAAACTTCACTTGTTTAAGTGTATTCTTTATGAATTTATAAGCAGTCTTTGGAAGATTCTGATTTTGATTTGATAGAAGGAAATCGAAGAGTCTTTCGAATAAATTTTGTTGGAAAAACTCAGCGGAAGATTTTCCATTAGTTTTTTCGGTATTATAGCAGCTAATATATCTTTCAAAATCTGAAACATTTTCAGTCTTCAATGCTTGATGTATATAATAGGCCTTGGATTGTTCATTAACTTCGCTCCTGTTTTCTATATTTAATAGTTTATTCTGATGTCGCATCTTGGTAAGAAAATAGCTGTCCATTCTAAAAATAAAAATGACAAAATTTGGAAAATAATTTTTTGTTATAGAGTTTGAATATCAAGTGGAATTTTTAGGTTGATAATAAAAATATATTAATCATTCAATTCCTTGAACAGTCAAAAAACAAATCTAAGATACATGATGAATTACCACTTGGGATACTTATACTCCTTCGAATAGAATTCTGTGTATGAACAGATTTTTCCAAAAGTTGGAAATTTTTTCCAGAAGGGATTCCACTCTCAATTTTGAGTTTTAGCTCAAAATAAATGGAAATTTAGATTCGTCATATATTGAAGTTTCTAAATCCTCTTTTTATTTAAGCCAAATTTTCGAAAAATTTGTCAGAAAATTTTCTGACACTCTCACTTTTTGGAGATCTACGTATGACATTAAATAACTTTTTCATAAAAAACGCAAAATTAATTCTGATCGAGCACGGTGGCCGACTCTGAAATATTTGTATTCCAATTCAAATTATATTAGCGGAAAATTTCAGATTTTTTAAAAGAGTTTCAATTTTTCATTTTCTAAACAGATTGCGGAGATTATAAATCGGCTAAAAGTAGTTATTTTTAATATCCATTCATATATATTTATATAAATTTCTAAAATTCACTTTTATTAAATGAAATATTATTTTATGGGGAATGTATACTTGTTAGTTTGTTAACGCCCTAAATATACATAATCCAAATATTTACTTTATTAAATCAACAATAATGCCGGTTTTGGTTATAAATGAAAATGCATATCCTCATCAGAGAGCTAATATCATATACGAAGTCAACAAATAATATTATCTTATCAATTATATTGAGATATGAGCTGGTGTCTGCATCATTTTTCAATGAAATCTAACTCAATATCTTAATTTTTTTGAAACATTGAAGCTTTTATCTACATTTACTATCTCAAAATTTTAAAAACAGTTTTCATATTTTTTACCGATTGTAACAACTAATATTTTATATCTTTATGTATAACTATCACTAAAGGCAATTTACTGATATATTTGGTTATAGTAATGTTAGAAATACATATGAATAGTCTTTTATACGAAAAATCATATTTTTATTAAAAGATTATCAAATGATTTCTCCAAATATTAAGCATTATTGTGAAATATAGATCAAACATATTGTGATACTGATAGTGTAGAATGATTTATACTCTAAACACTAATAATATTATAATATCATCGAAGTTAGATTATTATATCCCTACAACTTAGCTTAATTCTCGATTTAATCACGGCTTCAGTTAGTCATACTAGTATGCATTATACCCTACTTACCCCATTGATTGACACCAAATATCCAGTGTGGAACCACTTCTTTTTTTTCAAAAAAAAATAATATAATTAAATGCATTAAGGGAGGCTTCCGACCAGAAAGCTCTCTCAATTTTTTGTGATGTTTACACCAAAAGTGAGATTCGTTAAGCGTTTTTCTCGTTGAATATTGAGTTTCCCGGATTTTGAGTTATTCATAAAGCTCCTCTATATTATACCCTATCTACTGATATGATTATTTTTGAAAAATCTCTTAAATCGACCTGCACTGAATTTTTTAGGGAAAATTCGAAATTTTCTAGGCGTTTTCTGTAACGTTTTTTTACGGAATAAAATCCGAAAAATAATTTTTTGAAGAATCATTTGGGTAGAATACTTATCGAAAATTATATTTATTATAATTTTGGTCGATAAAAATAAGCGGATTCAAAACTGGCAAAAACCCTTTCGGCAATTTGTGGACGATTCCGAACCCCCTCATTTTTGAAATTTAATAAGAAAAATAGAATCTTTATTAAATATAGATTTTAAAAAACTTGGTTATAAATTACGAAATTTTCTCACTTGGGCTAAAAAGTTACAATTTGGTCGGAAGCCACCCTTAAAAAAGGATATATTATTATAAGCATTGTTTTTGTTTTAATCTTGTGGAAGTGGATTGTAAAAATTCACGAAATATTTTTTTATTCTAAAATTATCAAAGCAAACCATTCAGAGTAACAAATCCAAACAGATTGTATACATGTGAGGAAAGATTAGTATGCAATTTCTTCATAAATTTAAAAATATTCAATTGAAGATTTAGTTATTTTGCTGTCGATTCATTTATAATTAATTTCTATTTCCCAAAGATAATTTAAGAGATCATATGAATTGATGAAATTTTAAGCCGGCCAATTTGCTGCGACGGTTTGCCAATCACAATGGAGCAAATTCCCTTTATTTCATCCCGAATTGCAGAACTCGAATCCATAATTAGTGAGAAAAAGCGCAATGTTGCACGTCTTCAAGCACAACGTAATGATCTTAACAAGCAAGTTCGTGATTTGAAGGATGAAATTTTCCATCTTCAAGAAAATCCTTCAGAAATTGCAGAACTCGTTCGTAAAGTCGGCAAAAATAAAGCACTCACATCTAATAACCATGAAGGTAAATTTTTGGTTACAGTTGACGATGAAGTTGATATTACAGGATATCCATCAGGCACACGTGTTGCACTTCGTTCAGACACAATGGTTCTTCACCGTATCCTTCCTACAAAAGTTGATCCACTCGTTGCTCTTATGAAAGTCGATAAAGTTCCAGATTCAACCTTCGAAATGATTGGTGGCTGCGACCGCCAAATTAAGATGATCAAGGAAGTTATAGAGCTTCCTATCAAGCATCCAGAAATTTTCGAATCCCTTGGTATTCCTCAGCCAAAGGGTGTTCTTCTTTACGGTCCACCAGGCACAGGTAAGACACTTCTTGCACGTGCCGTCGCTCACCATACAGATACTACATTCATCCGTGTCTCCGGATCCGAATTAGTCCAGAAATATATCGGTGAAGGTGCTCGTATGGTCAGAGAGCTTTTCGTCATGGCTCGACAGCATGCACCATCCATCATCTTCATGGATGAAATCGATTCAATCGGTTCTGCTCGTGGTGCAGGTGCAAGATCTGATACAGAAGTCCAGAGAACAATGCTCGAGCTTCTCAACCAACTCGATGGTTTCGAAGCTTCTAATAACATTAAAGTTATCATGGCTACAAACCGTATTGACTCTCTCGATTCGGCTCTTTTGAGACCAGGTCGTATCGATAGAAAGATCGAGTTCCCCAACCCAGGTGATGCTGGCAGACTTCAGATTCTCCGCATTCACAGCCGCAGAATGAACCTTCAGCGCGGTATTGATCTTAAGAAGATCGCAGCTGACACTAGCGGTGCTTCTGGTGCTGAACTCAAGGCTGTCTGCACTGAGGCTGGTATGTTCGCCCTTAGAGAAAGAAGAGTCCACGTGACACAGGAAGATTTCGAAATGGCTGTCTTCAAGGTAACTAAGAAGGACGATAAGCGCTCTATGAGTATCAAGCAGATGCTCAAATAAGAAAATTTTACCTTATCTTACATCTTTGTGTACCTTCAATATAAATTTTTTTTATTTATCGATTTTTTTATCATTTTACATCTATTTTACTTGATTTTTTTGGTTTATGTAATTGTTAATTATTGGATTTCTTCATAAATTTTCTCTAAGAATTTTAAATTTTGATATTGTAGTTTTTAGTTAATATTCATTAAAGTACTAAATTTCGTATCACTGATTCATTCCAATTTCAGAATAATTTGATACAATTGAAAAATATTACAATATTTTTGGTAAATTTTATTGAAAAATAGTTCTTTATTGAGTGTTGAGTTTAATTATATCATCTTAAAATTCCAAAAAAATTACAAAAATCAAAATATTATAGAAATTTTTTACGAAATTATTAACAAAAATAAATTTTTGAAGATATTTTGGAATTTTTTAAAGATTTTAAATCTGCTATTATCATTAATAATATAAAATAATTTGATTATTCTTTTCAAAATTTGATTTTAGTTTAATTTTCCAAAAAAATTACCCTATATTTCCAACTCTTGGAAATTTTTCATGACCCCCTACCCAGGGTCCTAAAATGGGTATTTTCCTCACACAGACACCGTGTTTTTTTGAGCCGGGAAATAAATAGCGCAGACAGTTTCTACATATAGAGACATGCTTATACTTAGAGTTTGACGGGAATCTAAAGTGATTTTTTTCTGCATCGCGAAATCTAATGCAATCTCAAAATCATGCAGAAACTGCGAATCGGAGCGCAATTTTTTAATATGTTAATATATAAAGGTACCCCTACTACTGCAAATGCTTCAAATGAAAATCTAAGAAATCAGATTAATTTGATCACATTAGTATAGTATTGGTCAAACCAAAAACTCATATGTTGATATATAGCCTATAGATATTCATATTATCTACTTTTCATTGAATTACATAAGATTTAATAATCTCATAAATATTCTTTTTAATTTTCCGAATTCCGTGTGCATTTAGATTGCCTATACCTGTATATAATAATTCTAGAATGGTTTGGTTAGATATTAAGTTTTTTAGATTAATATTTTAACATTTTGATAAAACAAGCATTTGTTCCATTTTAGAATCGCCATTGAACTCTAGTTTGACTAACATGATGTTGTATGATCAAATAAATTCTAACTTCATGAGATAAATTTTGAAATTAGAAAATGCGATATCTGACTCAAATATTTATCTGAACACATTTAACATTCAATGATAAACTAAAGTACTATACAGCAGATTCGATTTGGCTTATATTTTATATAATCAACAAATAATCCTATAAAATTGTGCTATTCACGTTGCTCAAAGATGTATTGAACATTCCCTACTTGTGTATTGATAAACTTAGATATAGATTCTAATGTAAATCGATATTTTGAAAATTCATATATATTTTGTCTTGGTTTGGCATTTGATCGTGTTGAAACCGGAATTGCAATATATATCATCTAAATATATAACTATCAAAATATGAGCTATAGATTTTTAAATTATTCTCCTGAATATGAGTGACTAACATAATTATATTGAATTGAGTAGTAAGAATCATAAATATTAGAATCTGACGATAATTTATTATAACTTTATATAGGAACAAGATTATAAATGATGATGAAAATAAAGATTAAATTTAAATCTGAAAATTTGAAAACATTAAGTGTATATGATAGCATTACAAAATTAAATTTTATGTGGAAGAGGAAAAAGAGGAATTAGAAGTATTATGAGAAAATAATAAGATATAAAAACAAGATTCTATTAAATGAGTTAATTTATAGAAAGGAATAACAGTGTGAATGTAGTAAATGAATGTTTTCATGATGTATTATTGAAATCTTAAGTTTTGTTAAGAAGATAATAAGGGAATCAAATTTTGTATTAGGAAGTTTGACCGACAAGAGTGTATTGTGCACTCTTGTCGGTCTGCATGTCTCATTCCGGGAGACATTGTCACTGCATGTCTCCCAGAATGAGACAATCTTTTGCAATCACAATGTGATTACAAAACTTCGACCGACAAGAGTGCACAATACACTCTTGTCGATCTAAATGTATCTTACAATCAAAGACACTTTCATACAATCTTTTCGAAGTTAAAAAAAAAATTAATTATTTCTTTCTTTTGTTTATTAAATCGCCTTACTCACGTACTAATCTCTTTTAGAGACTCTATCGAGCTATCCCCACATATAAACCCGTGACAATAATACATATTTACTCTCTTCATATTCTGATCTCATGACACATTATCGCAAAAACTATAATTATACAACACATCTCATAAAGTCTCATTTTAGCCCTATCTAAGCGTTCAAAACCTATTTTCCACACGTAATCTGATTCTTCTGGCTCCGCTGATTCGATTTCTGCTGTCAGATCGTGAAAATATGCATCACACAATGAGATAAACACAAAATACACAACTTAATATTTTCCTTAAAATTTCTCTTCAGGTTCATACCTAAATAAGCTCTTTTTTTGAAAATTCAATTTTTTTCCAAAAATGTATGAATTCAAAAGTTCAGATTATATCTATTTTCACGATCTGACAGCAGAAATCGAATCAGCGGAGCCAGAAGAATCAGATTACGTGTGGAAAATAGGTTTTGAACGCTTAGATAGGGCTAAAATGAGACTTTATGAGATGTGTTGTATAATTATAGTTTTTGCGATAATGTGTCATGAGATCAGAATATGAAGAGAGTAAATATGTATTATTGTCACGGGTTTATATGTGGGATAGCTCGATAGAGTCTCTAAAAGAGATTAGTACGTGAGTAAGGCGATTTAATAAACAAAAGAAAGAAATAATTAATTTTTTTTTTAACTTCGAAAAGATTGTATGAAAGTGTCTTTGATTGTAAGATACATTTAGATCGACAAGAGTGTATTGTGCACTCTTGTCGGTCAAACTTTTGCATCACATTATGATGCAAGATTGTCTCATTCTGGGAGACATGCAGTGACAATGTCTCCCGGAATGAGACATGCAGACCGACAAGAGTGCACAATACACTCTTGTCGGTCAAACTTCCTAATACAAAATTTGATTCCCTTATTATCTTCTTAACAAAACTTAAGATTTCAATAATACATCATGAAAACATTCATTTACTACATTCACACTGTTATTCCTTTCTATAAATTAACTCATTTAATAGAATCTTGTTTTTATATCTTATTATTTTCTCATAATACTTCTAATTCCTCTATTTCCTCTTCCACATAAAATTTAATTTTGTAATGCTATCATATACACTTAATGTTTTCAAATTTTCAGATTTAAATTTAATCTTTATTTTCATCATCATTTATAATCTTGTTCCTATATAAAGTTATAATAAATTATCGTCAGATTCTAATATTTATGATTCTTACTACTCAATTCAATATAATTATGTTAGTCACTCATATTCAGGAGAATAATTTAAAAATCTATAGCTCATATTTTGATAGTTATATATTTAGATGATATATATTGCAATTCCGGTTTCAACACGATCAAATGCCAAACCAAGACAAAATATATATGAATTTTCAAAATATCGATTTACATTAGAATCTATATCTAATTTTATCAATACACAAGTAGGGAATGTTCAATACATCTTTGAGCAACGTGAATAGCACAATTTTATAGGATTATTTGTTGATTATATAAAATATAAGCCAAATCGAATCTGCTGTATAGTACTTTAGTTTATCATTGAATGTTAAATGTGTTCAGATAAATATTTGAGTCAGATATCGCATTTTCTAATTTCAAAATTTATCTCATGAAGTTAGAATTTATTTGATCATACAACATCATGTTAGTCAAACTAGAGTTCAATGGCGATTCTAAAATGGAACAAATGCTTGTTTTATCAAAATGTTAAAATATTAATCTAAAAAACTTAATATCTAACCAAACCATTCTAGAATTATTATATACAGGTATAGGCAATCTAAATGCACACGGAATTCGGAAAATTAAAAAGAATATTTATGAGATTATTAAATCTTATGTAATTCAATGAAAAGTAGATAATATGAATATCTATAGGCTATATATCAACATATGAGTTTTTGGTTTGACCAATACTATACTAATGTGATCAAATTAATCTGATTTCTTAGATTTTCATTTGAAGCATTTGCAGTAGTAGGGGTACCTTTATATATTAACATATTAAAAAATTGCGCTCCGATTCGCAGTTTCTGCATGATTTTGAGATTGCATTAGATTTCGCGATGCAGAAAAAAATCACTTTAGATTCCCGTCAAACTCTAAGTATAAGCATGTCTCTATATGTAGAAACTGTCTGCGCTATTTATTTCCCGGCTCAAAAAAACACGGTGTCTGTGTGAGGAAAATACCCATTTTAGGACCCTGGGTAGGGGGTCATGAAAAATTTCCAAGAGTTGGAAATATAGGGTACTCTTGGATTTTCGTTCTTTAGTTTATCTGGCATGAGTTGAACTATGCACTGAAATATAGTAAAGAAATGAGCACGAAACATCATGTCATGACTAATACCAAGTAAAATTTTGAAAATTGCCCAAAACTTGCTTTCCAATACAACATTGTAAATATCCCAAGGTTGTACTGTTTCTTGATTTAAGTGGAGCAAATCATATATCATCTCAGCATAAATTTCAGGCGTAGTACTAAAAATGCATCCAAGAGCGAGTACAATTTCATCGGCTGCAATGAAAGTTCCCGTAGTTCTCTTTTGTGGTCCAGGGTATTGCATGACATATTTAACGCCGTCGATTGTGATAGTTCTTACGAGACCCATTTAGAGTGCATTAAAACGATACGTAAACTTTATAAAACAAAGTCCATAAGTTATCCAAATTTTGTTCTGAAATTGTACAATATAATAGTAACACTATTTCATAATGTATATATTCATTTCTTTCTTGGATAGATAATATTAAGCAGAAGTTTCCAAAAAAATTAATTTTTTTAAAAGCACGATGAAGATTAAATGTTG